AGAATGCTGAGTGAAAGATAAAATTAGTGCAAGGTGAGCATGAGGAATAACAAAGTCTATTATAAGAGCAATCATTATACGCGTATTTACAGCAATAGTAAGAACAATAACATATTAATAATCTCAATTGTGTTATCAATAAAAAAAATTACTTAATAACTACTCCCATTATATCTACCATTGATACGAATTAAAATGATGATAAATCACCATTAATAAACACATGGAACTGAAATATGAATGAATAATTGCAGTTTACTTTTGTCTGACATCATTTCACTTCGAATTCCTTCACTGTTACAGCATATTAAATAAATGTCCATAAATGAGGCTACATGTCCTATGAATAATTCCAAATCAATCAACAATTGAAGCAAAAACAAAATACAAAAGCTTTAAATGTATTCACTAGAATAAAATAAATAAATAAATGAAAACTAAATAAATAAATTAATTAATTAATAAAAAGTAAAAAAAAAAAAAAAAAAACAGAGGTAGTATGATACGAACATTGCTAATGATTATAAGTGTAGATAATACACCTACTTTCTTATCCGATGTGGTTTATGGGAAAAATGCTCTTTGTAGCTGTTTTTAAAGTACTGTTATCAGATTATGTATTATTGCTGTGCCATTCACACAAACTTAAATTAAAAGACAAACATAGCTTGCATAGAGACTTAATAGACAATTCATGGACTACACAGATAACATAGGAAGACTACACAGAAAGACTACATGAACATGGAGAGATAAAATAGAAAGACTACATAGTTAACATAGAAAGACTCCGTGGATAACAGAAAACTACATGGCCAACAGAAAACTACATAGGTATCATAGAAAGACAACACAAACCACGTAGAAAGACATAAAAATAGGCAACATAGAAAAAAACTACATAAACATAGAAAAACTGCAAATGACAATATAGAAAGACTTCATGGACACCATAGGAAGACTACATAGACAGCATAACAAAACTACATAAACTGAGAAAGACTACATATACAACAAAAAATTACATAGACCACATAGAAAGCCTACATAGACCACACAGGAAGACTATATAGGCCATAGAGAAAGCCTACACAGACCACATAGGCATCCTAGTAAGACTAAAACATACAAAACGGAAAGACTACATAGGCCACATAGAAAGACTACATTATACAGGTCACCTCACACGACTCCCCTACCCACTCAACACAAACATATATATTATGCATCACATACAAACACGCAGGTCCCTTTTATAACAACAAAGACCCCTACACTATAACACACAACCTTTAACAATAAGAAGCTTGGAAACTCGGCAGACAACACTACTAAATATCTTCGTAGTATGAACTATATTCATTGCGACAAAGAATAGGTATGATTGAGAATGAATAGCTTCGCAATACACGAGATGTATTTAACCGGTTTCGAATATATCTTTGACGGAAATACTGGTTAAATATGTCTCTTGTATTGTGAAGATATTCATTTTCATTCTCACTGAATATTATTATTACTAATTATGATTTGTTTTCTTCAACTTATGTTTTTCTTGCTATCATTTTTGTTACAAATAGTATTATTTCTGCTACTATTACAAAAAAAAAAAAAAAGAAGAAGAAGATAATAACTATTATTGTTATTACCACTTTCTACTGTCACTATATCTCACTGTTTGTCACCATTACCATCGTCGTTATTATTAGTGTCAGTATTACTGTTACTGTTTTATTCCCAACTACCGATTTTATTATTATTATTTATTCCAACCATCATTTCAGCATCAATAACTCCACCTCTACTACATCAAAATCCATGATACAACGGTTGGAATTTGATAAAAGGCAAACATCATATACAAATAGCATCAGCAATATCAAACAGGCAAAGTAAATATCTGATTTATATGCAGTGAACCTCAATTACTGTGAGGTTAATGACATTACTTTCCATAATCCACAGCGCCGGGGATTGATTGTATGTTTGTCATATATCACGTCAGTCAACTTCTGACAAACAACCATTTTCGATTTTTTATTATTGTTACTGTTACTGTATTTTAATTTTCTGTCAAAATGGCGTCGATTATCATTAATATTATTACTGTTGTTGGTAATATATTATTGAAATCCTTCACTGCCATCACTTTACGGCAATTCTGACACGAATCTGCTTACGAAACAGCTTAACATCCGTAGGGATTTTAAGACCTTTGTTTTTTAATAAAAGTCAGGGGGTAAATTATCAGTTGCAACATCTCGTCCTGCTTTCATTATTTCTAATAAAAGGTCTCACTTGCTGAAAATTAAGAAAGTATTAGAAACCATTTTTTTCTGTTTCAATACTTACGCCTCACTTGCTGAAAATTAGGAAACAGTATTAGAAACCAAATATTTTCTTTTCTGTTTCAATACTTACAAGAGAACCCCAATGAGTCAAATGTTACAGTCCAATGATTCTTGCACTTTGAAATAACCACTTCATACATTTCAATATTTTATCTTATCATATCGTCCCACAACAAGGTTGTTTTAATCCCCATTCTCTAAAGGCCAACAAGCTCTATGCACAGTCAGTAATATCTCAACCGTTTCGATTCGCGCCCCCCCAAAAAAAACGATTCGAGAAGAAGTCCCTCTCTCCTTGATGGCTAGAAACGTACTGTGGGTTACTTACGGAGACGTCATCGTTGTCTCTGCGTCTGGGAGCCGTTTCCAAGAGCTGCGAGACTCCTTTAATTATTCATTATCTTAGTGACGTTGGATCAGATAGGAGACTCCCTCTATGTAGCTGACATGCGATCTCTGTATGTAAAGAATCTAACTGCTCTCATACATGTATACGAATCTAGTAAGTGATCTTTCATAGTGACATGACATTTAAAATAACCTTTTTGTATATAGAGAAAAATGGAGTGATGTATTGGGTTCAAAGAATATGTTTTAAGAGATAAATTACCATATGTGTATGGGTATGATGTTCAGAAGTCTATTTATACAGTCAGTCTATCTACCTGTTTCCTTGTATGTCAGAGAGAGAGAGAGAGAGAGAGAGAGAGAGAGAGAGAGAGAGAGAGAGAGAGAGAGAGAGAGAGAGAGAGAGAGAGAGAGAGAGAGAATTATAACAAATGTATCGTTTCTAAATCTCACTTGAGTTATCATCCACATTAATGAAACAATAGAAAATATATCGATAGGCAGACAGATAGAGATATATCGATAAGTAGATAGAGATATATCGATAGGTAGATAGAGATACATCGATAAGTAGATAGAGATATATCGATAAGTAGATAGAGATATATCGATAAGTAGATAGAGATATATCGATAAGTAGATAGAGATATATCGATAAGTAGATAGATACATCGATAGATAGACCAAAAAAAAATCTTTTACATCTTATAACATACACCCTTCCACCAACCGCACATCTATCGAGCACTTCTGCCTGTCTACCAAACCACCTCCTTATCTTGTGCCGCGTGTACGTACCTCTTAATCCCATAACGACCCAAGCACGCACTTACGAGTATTATAACCGCCCTTCGCCCATTCCGTAACGTACGACCCTAACTCACGATCGTAAGCGAGCATGGAACACCTCATTAAGATCAACGACCCGCCTTTCTCTGCTGACCATTAGTTCTTTATTAGATAGTTTAATGAGGTTAATGTTATAACTCTCGCGTTTGGGTAGCTATTCGGTACATTATGAAGATCAGGAAAAAGTACGTGAGGGGAATTACCGCTGTGTGGTGTATGGATCATTATAATATATATAGCGCATGCAGAAGAGGAGGGGATATAGTGGGTAAGGGATATGAGAGAGGGGGTGAGGGGTGTATATATATAAATTATAGTATAGGCGAGCGGGGGATAGTAAATAAGTAGAGAAAGAGGGTATATATAGAGTGAGAGTAGAAGAGATAGTAAGAGATGAATAAAAAGAGAGCAGATGGGTGGAGATCGTATAGTAGTAGTGCCATTTTATAGTGGAGTGGTAGTAATGAGGGCTAGAATGGAGCGTTAAGAGTAGATAAGAGAAGCTGATATAGGAGTGGAGGGGTAAGGGAATTGGAATAGGGATGATCATGGAGGATATACGTATATATCTAGCTAATAAGGGTAACAGGGTATATAGAGAGAGTAAGATAGAAGACAGAGATAAGTAGACCAAGAAGCATAAGAGATTAGATGAGTTTATTATCCGATGAAGGGTTTCCTTGCTATTTATAGATAATCAGTCCCTACTACATTTTATAGCGAAGTCACTGATAGTCAGGTGAAAGTCCAGAATACCTACATATATTAATATACCAAATACTACATCAGTTCTAGCGCTACTCAACTCGCTCTTCTTCCCGGCTTTAAATACATTGACTCACAGATGTAGCTACAGTAATAAACGGCATTATACTATAGATGCGGTAGATTACGTTATGGTGGCATGAGTTAGTTTGTGTGTGGTGTTGTGTGTTGATGTGTGTTGGTGTGTGGATGTGGCTTGGTGTCGTCGAGGCTCAGTGTGTGATAGTGTGGCTGGTAGGTATCCATTCTGTATGTGGATAGTTACTCAGCTATAGATATCTATGTGTATATCCTTTTATGAGTCGGAGTAATTGGCCGATAAATCTGACCTTAGGATTCGCAGATTTAATACGGGAGTATTAAATAATGGTAGCGGATTTTATATTATACTCACTATTAGGTCAGTGCAGCTAATTACTACTAGCACAGAGACACACTAGCACCATAGCACACACACACATGAATACATGAGGCGGCTCTAACGACTAGCCACTACCATCTCGTATAATACTAAAGAATTTCTTGCATATTAATAATTACTTAAGGGGACTAAAGTGTATATACGGTGATTTTTATGGACACATCGCACAAAAATTTTTGCTGTGAAGAATGATTTTAAAATCGAACATACACAACACAATCAAATAAATCATACATACATTAATATTATTTATTTAATTTATTTGT